ACCTGTTGTGTGCGTCCTGCCCCCATGGAGACTCTTGGGGGTGACTCGCGCAGTCCTATCTCTTCCCTCCACACACTCCAATGTGGGCTTCCTAAGAAGCATGGTTGCCAGTCTCGGGAAATTGGTCATTGAGGCAGCACTTTTATCTCCCAGGGTATTCCACTCTTGTCGACTGACCCTGTAAAATCCTTCACGACACATTTTTCCTTCTGGTAGGGCACCCTGTCTAGGATCCGTATTGCGTTGAACTGTTACATCTCCTTCCCTCTCTCTGAGTTTGGGACGGTTGCTTTGCCTTTGTCTTTTATCACATGGGCATTTTTGATGCATGCTGGTTCCCCATCCTCATTTCCTGTTTATCTCACATTCCCTCCCGATTAGACTCAGGCTGTGCATTCCTAGATTACAGCACGAGATGCACCCTTCTCAGGGTGTTGCATCTGGACCGGCCTCCTTGTTGGCGCTGCCCATGTGATCACCCAGCGAGGGGCTGTCCCGTCTGTGCTATGTGGTGACTTTTCCCCAAGCACTAATGAGCCGTCCATGCAGGACAGGTAGGCTCTGCAGTCCCCTGCACCTCACCGTCCCCCGAGATTTGCCCTCCATTTGTGGCTCTTACCTGCCCCCGTCTCCCTCTCTAAGCCGCAGAGTGATGCTTTTCCAACCACTTTACCAGCCAGCGCTTTATTAGAAGTGAGACTCTTTCTATTCATGGATTCATTCATTTTATTTAAATTATATTAGGTCTGTTTATTGTTGGAGTGGACTTGCGGACTCCTGTTTTTCATGGCCTATCACAGTTGTCTCTTCTTACTCATCATACTGCTCACGCTGTCCCAGCTTTGGTGAGGACATCCTGTGTCCTTTGGGTGTCACCTGACGTGCTCTTGGATCCTTTCTCGCCTCCGTCAGAATCACCTGTCTCAGGCTCATCTTGCCTCTCCCTGCCCTGGCCCAAATCAGCCATTTCTCCTGGAGCCCTGGGCCCTTCTGGAGGGTGGCAGTGTTTGGGGCCAGGCCTGGTGCAGGAGGGCTGCAGAGATGGAGCTTGGAACACGTGAGCGTGTGTCTGTGTGTGTTCAGACACATGTACACACTGTAGACACGTACTCACAAGCACGCTCAGGGTGTGCACACACAGACGTGTGCGTGTACTTGCATAGTCTGTGTGCTGCTTCTTACTTTAAATATCTAGGTTAAGCCTTGTCCTCAGCCCTGGCCTGTTCCCATGGACTCCTCTCGCCTGCTCTGTCTCCCGCCTCTGCCGGGAGAGCCCCAGCTTCAGGAGCCTCCTCACATTGCCTCATTGCCCAGTTTGCGGGGCGTCTAGGATGGCTTAGGAACGGCTTCCCACCCCGCCACAGAAACACCCTCTGAAGAAGGTTTCTTTGTCGTTCTCTCCCCGGCTCCGCCCCCCCAAGACTTCAGGTAATGGGCGCAGGAGCATTAGTGAGCCCACCGCTGCCGCTTCTCACTCAGTGGGAGGTGCGGGGCCTGGGAAGGGCAGGTAGGCCGTGTCGCTCTCGTGAGGTCAAGAGTCAATTGTTAGGCACAGAGAACGATGAGGTCATGTTCAATGCTAACGCGGGGGTTTTTCCTATGCTTGCAGCTACGTACTTTTGAGGTCTTTATGGAGTTTAAAAAGCACTTGTGTATTAGAGAGTTGGGTTACCAGGAAACAACGGAGCAGTTAAGACGCCTTGATTTTATCTCACCATTCGCCTGCCAAAAATAATTACATTTGCCCTGGCTCCCAGGCAAGCGCTGGAGAAGGGCGTGTGTGGCTGGGCCAGAGGCACCCACTGAGTCCCTGCCCGGCCTGTGGGTCTCTGTCCTACAGCTCTCAGCTCTGGGTTATCAAGGTTAGGGACTGCAGGGCCCAGGGTCCAAGGCTGGCTCTACTGTGTGGGGACCTCAGTGTTGGACCTGCCCTTACCACAGCCCCGTGGCTTGGCTTCTGGGTGCCTGTCACGCCTGTGACTGTCCCCAGAGCAGTGCCGCCGCCAGCTTCACAGGTTGAGAGTCTGCTTCTGGCAGCTAGATGACAGTGTGTCAGCTCTGTCCACCCAGAGCCTTGGACAAGTCCCCAGAAGAGACCTGGTGGAGAGGAGTGGCGTAGCAGGGCGGCCTGACGCTTCCACGCACTCACAGCGGTGTCTGGTGAGGGCAGGAAGGAGCAGGGCCCCTGCTGTGTCTGCGGCAGGGAGGGAAGGATGCCACAGAGTCAGCACTGTCCCCTGTGGTGGGTTGACGTGGAGGAAAGAGTTGAGTCCCGTCCCTAATATATGCCTGGGGCTCTGTTCAGATGCAGTTCCCTCCCAGATTGCCTTAGGGGAGTCCTCCTAGCTGCCATCCCTGCACTTCCTGCACAGCGGGCTTTAGAGGAGGATGGGCTGGTGACCTTGGGTGACCCCTCAATGCCCATGGCCCCCAGCTCTGTATGATTTCTTCATGGCATGGTTTTGCCAGTTAGACGCCAGGGGTTGCCGAGTGCTACAGAGGGGCAGGACCGTGGGCTTCGAGCCAGGGGAGCGTGGCTGAATTCCCAGCTGTGTCACCCACCATTTAAGGCTTTGAGCAGTGACTGACCCTTCTAGCGCCTCCTTGGCATGGCAGGGACAGTGCCCCTCCTGCGGGGCTGCTGTGAGGGGCAGGGACCAGAGCACGTTCCGTGTAGGTCTCCCCACATCAGCTCGTCAGAGCTGGAGGTCAGAAATGCCGGGTCTCTAGTGTGCGTATTTTAAAGCGTCTGCCCTTGGCCCTGTGGAAGCTGTGTGAACAGGACTGTGTGTGGGGAATGCCTGATATGAGGAGTCCACCCCACCTGCTTTCTGGGACTTGGATGGTTTTTCCCCATCAGCAACACTGAAGTCAAAAGGGGCTTTGTTGAAGCATGCGTCTTGTAAAGACAGCGCCCAGGTGTGGGGGGGTTTTGGCAGCTGCTGCCTGGCTGTCCTGAGCATTGAGTGGGGGCATCCCTGGGGAGGAGGGCAAGCCCCGTCCCTGGGGCCTGGAAGGAGCTCCCGAGCACGGCTGTCAGTGCGACGGCTGTAGGCGCTCCTGAGCACGGTTGTCAGTGTGATGGCTGTGTCCCTTTAGCTGGGGCGACTTGCAGGCTCTGGAGGGGCGGCGGGGGGAGGTGCGCCAGGCCTGAGTCGTGGCCGAAGCCACGCACAGTGTTCTGTAAGACTGTGCCACGCGTGAGCCTGGCTTCTGGGTTGGCCACCCCACAGCAATCTCCACTTCCATGAGACCTGCTGGTGCATGGGAGCCACCTTGTTCCCAGGCTTCCTGGCGGGGCATTTATGGGGAAAGCAACCCTGATGGAAGTGGGCACAGAGGCTGCTCCTATAGGCCACGGTCTGGGCCAAGCACTGTTCTCCTGAGGAGCCCGGCACCATGGTGCTGAGGTCATGGAGAATACAGGCCCCACCTACCTGAGAGACCCAGGCTACGCACAGCCACCGACACAGCCTCGTGTCCCACAGACGGGAGGGGAGGGAGTTTCCTGGGTTCACTGTGGCTGCGTTCAGTCTTTGTTGTGCCGCATCCGTTTACCACCTGCTCTTTTGCAAATGTTTTCTTTAATTGGCCTTTTCCTTTCATATGTTTGCAAATCAAACTTTATGTTACCACAAATAAAAAACAGTATCACAGCTTTAAACAGAACAGAATCGCAAACACGAGAAAAGTGAAGGGGTAGTGCAGGCGGCTCGTTCCCTTCGCCCATGCATCCCGGCTCCCTGCATGGGTTTCTGTGAAGAGGGGGCCGCAGGCACTGGTGCAGGTGCACCTTGGTAACATCAGGGACAGCTCCTGCCAGGTGGGCGAGGTGGGAAGGAGGGAAGCAACGCCAGCATCCGGCCCCGGTGGTGGAAGGAGCAGGAACCTTCCCGCCTGGGTGCCGCAGAGTGCTTGGGCCTTGCATGTGGCCGAGAGCCTGCTAGAAAGGCAGCTTAGTAGGTTGCACAGGCTACTGGACAAGGCTGAGCCCTGCCTCCTACATTCACGGGAAGCTCGTCATGGCGCCCGAGCATGACACGGAAGTACCCCCACAGCATTTTGGACAGCCTGGAAATGCCAGGGTAGGTCCGGCTGGCCGGACTCAGAGGCTGGCCCTGTGAGACTTTTCGGGGTGGCAGGGGAGGGCTGTGTTTTCTGTGAGCGGGGAGGGATTCTCCCGAGAGCCTCATGCCCACCCCACATCTCACCCCACTTGGCAGACCCCCAAGACAGAGCCTCTGGAAGGATCTGCACATGACCGTTTTATTGACAAAGGCTGAACATCGCCAGCCTCGTCAGCTTTTCTTACATTTTATGGGAAGGTTTTTATATCATCACCGCAGTTGTCCCCAGCTGTTATTTCTGTAGAAGCAAATTCGTCAGCCACACGTGCTGGAGTATTTCATTGTCCTGGCACCCAACTAGCCCACATGGCAGCTCGCACGGTCCCAGTCCACGAGTGCAATTGCCATGACGATGTCAACAAGCAGTGACTGAACCGCCTCAGAGCAGGCGGCAGACGCATGGCAGAGGGACCTTCCCGCTGCCACGGGCCGGGCGCTCCGCGGAGGGACCTTCCCGCTGCCACGGGCTGGGCACTCTGCGGAGGGCCCTTCCTGCTGCCCCGGCCGGGCGTTCCACGGAGGGCCCTTCCTGCTGCTCTGGGCCGAGGACCTCGCAGGCCTGGCGAGGCCGCACAGCGCCATTGCTGCCGTCCTGGAAGATGGAGGGTGCTCAGGCATGCACCAGAGCGTGTGTTTTCCTTTTCCTCTTTAACTCGGCGGTGCGCCAGCTAGCTCACACCTCGTGCGTTCCAGACCGTGGGTGCAGAGGACACACCGCAGCATCCAGCTGAGACCCACTAGCGTCTTGTGTCTCCAGCGTTAGTTCCCCCACAGTGGTAGACTTGCTTTAGGGTACGTGTAACTGAGTTGCGTCACCGCAGAGGCCTCTCCGTGTGACGTTCATGGTCGAGGGTGTCGGAAGCGTTTCCCATGGCGCCAGGCAGGGTGTATGGGGAGGACCACGGCGACAGGCTGGTCAGCGCTGACCTTTGGACCCTGCGGGGCGAGCGTTTTGGGATTGTAGCAATTCTGTGTGAGGAGTGAGGAGTGCAGGGTCAAGGAGGACCAGTCGTGAGGTTTCCTTAGCAGCCCCAGGGTGACCAGGCAAGTGTGACTCTCGCGAGGCCCCGAGGAGCCGGAGCCACGTCTGACAGCGGTCTAGAGACATGACATGGCCGTGCCTTGTGTCCACCCAGGTGCGTGCAGCTCCCGAGTCACACGCCGGCGGGGCCTGTGCGGCCGAGACCGCCTACACGGCACTGCTGAACCTCACGTCCGACTGCTCGGTGCTGTCTGGAATGACGGCCTTCAGGGCGGCGTGGCAGAAGCGGTTCAGGGCCGGCAGGTTTGTTTTCTGCTCAATGTACAGCCTCAGCTTTTCCCTGAAGGTCTCCCCGAGAAAGCTGTAGATGAGGGGGTTGAGGCAGCTGTTGGAGAAGGCCGCGAGGTTGACAATGTGGCCGGTGAGCGGGTGGGCGTGGCGAAAAGACTGCTTGCAGGGAGCGGCCCCGGGCTGCGTCCGCTGCAGGAGGTGCACACTGATGAAGACGTTCTCCGGCAGCCAGCAGACGAAGAAGACCAGCACCACCGCGAGGATCATGCGGAGTGCCTTCTGCCGCCGGGGCCGCAGACCGCGGTGCCGGTGTGCCCTGACCAGCACCCGGACAATGAGGGAGTAGCACAGGCCGATGATGGCGAAGGGCACAATGAAGCCCAGCGTAACCTCGAGCCACTGCACCTCCCGGACGTCTGCGAAGCAGAAGCAGGCCTCGTCGGTGTGCTGCAGGTGCACGGCGGTGAAGGGCACCAGCGTGGCTGACACAGATGCCATCCAGATGAGGCCACAGCTCAGCCGGGCGTGGTGCTTGGTGCGGAACAGGCTGCAGCGCATGGCCCTGGCCAGGGCGATGTAGCGGTCGAAGCTCATCCAGGTGAGGAAGAAGACGCTGCTGTACATGTTGACCTGCAGGAACAGCGACATGAAGGTGCACAGCACGGCGATGTCATAGTACTGCTCGTGCAGGTTGAACACCTCAATGAGGGAGTCGGCCACCAGGATGAGGTCCGCCACCGCCAGGTTGATGAAGTACAGGTCGGGGATGGTCATCTTCTCCCGGAAGCTGATGTTCACCACCAGGATCAGGATGTTGCCCACAAAGCCGATGGGGAAAAGGAATATGGTGTAGAGGCACGAGAGGAACAGGCCGATCACGTACTGCTGGTGCTCTGAGAGCTCGCCTGTCCCGTTTGCCACGGCAGCGCCCAGGAGCGGGTGGGACAGGTTGAGCTCGGGGGAGGTGGTGTTGGGGGCTGCAGGCTGCATGGTGCCCGGGTACATCTCCAGGCCCATGCCCCAGGCTTGGGAAGTCACATCCATATCTCTGCACCGTGCAGCTTTCAAGATTTGCCAAAAGGCTCCCAGAGCTCTGTTTTAAACAGCGAATCCATCTTTAGAAAGAAGCGTGATTCTCCCTGAAGTGAGCCCAGCATTTGTTAGACAGGAAACTCCCGAGGAGCACCTGTGGTGGTTTGGGTTGGGTTTGTGAACTGCAGAGAGTGGGAGGAACAGATGCTCCGCACGCTGGCATGGCACGTCTGTGGAGGCCAGGGTCCTCCGCGTGCTCGTCCGGCGGGCGTCCCTGCAGGTGTCAGCCGCCGTGCACTGTCCTGCGTGGAGACGCTCACTCTCTGGGTACCTGGAGAAGCAACAGGAGAGGATGAAGCCTCATCGAGTGGCCCCAACTTTGGGATAAGGCCCGCCGCCCCTGACTGGGTGTCTGTAGAGTCTGGGTGTGTCACTGGGGAGGCCAGAACCTCAGCTTTATGGGCTCAGGAGGTGGCTGTGGTTGAGCTGAGGTGGAAGAGTCACCTGTGGGGAGTACACGGCCTTCTTTCCTGCAGGCCCCACGGCCACTCGGCTGCAGCTGGAGGTTGGACGTGGAGAACCCCCACAGGCAGGGTGTTCTCTCCCTTTATAGCCACAGAGAAGGCCTAGGAAGCAACAGGGGTGTGGGCTTGGCCACCCCAGAAAATGGCATTTGTGAGGAGAGGGGAAAATGCATTTCAGCCGCTGATGGAGAAGTAAAACAGGAAGGGAGAGCCCAGTGTCTCTGAAAGACAGGGGGTCCGGAGAACTGGACATTGGAGCAGAATCATCTCTTACAATAAAATAGATCACAGACGTTCAGGGGTTTCCTCATGCTAGTTTTATGTTTAGGTACCAAAAATGAAACTTATTTTTGTAATATAGAGTGAAAGGGGTCATTGTTTTGGGAAATAATATTTTAAGTTTTTATTCTATGTTTTAGTAAATTATTGTAAAACCTAATATATGTTTGCAATGCTGTTTATAACCTAGGAAGAAACTAAGGAGAGAGTCCCTCCTGAGCTTGGCTTCTGCAGGGAGGGAGGAGTGGGCCGTCTGTCCATGGCAGTGCTCTCTCCCTGCTGCGAGTGGGGAGGGTCCTGTCACCCGCCCCGTGTCACCCCGGCCCTGTCACCAGTGGGGAGGGTCCCGTAACCCACCCCGTGTCACCCTGGCCCTGCCGTGAGTGGGGAGGGTCCTGTTACCTGCCCCGTGTCACTCTGGCCCTGCTGCCAGTGGGGAGGGTCCCATCACCTGCCCCGTGTCACTGTGCTCCCAAAAGTTCTCTCTGCAGCAGGCCACGGTCTTAGCCTGCAGACACTGGCGGTCTCTGGGGACCTGGGGGCTGTCACAGCTAGGGGGGTGCTGGTGGGGCCAGGGCTGCCGCCCAGCTCCCTACAGTGCCTAGGACAGGTGCCCAAGCCCAGCAGAGAATTACCCAGCCCAGATGGCACTGGTGCCCTGGAGTAAACTAACACTTCAAAATGGGTTTGAGTTGTTTTTCCTTTGGGAGTTTTCATTTCACCCTTTGAAATCATTAGGAGTTATTGTTTTGAATGTGTTGTGTTTTTTTTTTGTCACCCAGGCTGGAGTGCAGTGGCACAATCTCAGCTCACTGCAACCGTTGCCTCCGGGGTTAGAGTGATTCTCCTTCCTCAGCCTCCCTAGTATCTGGGATTACAGGTGTGCACCACCACACCTGGCTAATGTTTTATATTTTTAGTAGAGACGGGGTTTCACCATGTTGTCCAGGCCTGTCTCAAACTTCTGACCTCTAGTGATCCGCCCACCTTGGCCTCCTATGGTACTGGGATTACAGGTGTGAGCCACCGTGGCCGGCCGGGGCTTGTTGTTTTGAAGTGCTACAAAACCAGACTAGTGATTTACTGACCTATCGCTTGAAAATACTTCTTTTTTTAAAAAAAAAAAAAAAAGGCTGGCCTATAATCCCCGCACTTTGGGAAGATGAGGTGGGAGGATTGCTCAAGTCCAGGAGTTCGAGACCAGCCTGGGCAACATGGCGAAACCCTGTCTCTACTAAAAAAGTACAAAAAAAGTAGCTGGGCATAGTGGTGTGCGCCTGTAGTCCCAGCTATTCGGGAGGCTGAGGTGGGAGGATCGCCTGAGCCCGGCAGGTAGAGGCTGCAGTGAGCCGAGATCACACCACTGCACTCTAGCCTGAGCAACTGGAGTGAGACCCCATCTCAAAAAAAGGCGGGTAGGGGAAGACAAGATGAATCACTGCCTCAGTGTCACTTATTCTAAAAGTACTCAATCACCTTCACTTAGCTGGGGCTGATGAATTTGATTTTAGTATTTTGCACTCTTGATTCCTCTTTAGTAGATAATACCATCAAGCAGCGTAAACGCCTCTGCTCTCAGGCTCTGTAGGGAAAGTTGAAAGACTTCGCATTCAGCCTCTATATTTAATTTCTTTAAAACGGCACAGAGGACTTCTTTTGCTCTTTAAATGTAGAAATTCTGGAAGGTATTAGACTGCAGCGTGGTAGGAAGCTTAAAGGTGGACAGAACCCTTAACTTATGTTTGTTTTCTTTACTTATTTTGTTAAATGAACTCCGAGGGAAAAATAGTTTAAAACCAAGTCATTCATTTCTTTCCCACGTAAATCGAGTTGTTTAATCCTTGGCAGACACCAAGAAGATACGGGACCTGGTGTCTGATGTGTCCTAGTGTCGATGTGGTCCTGGGCTCAGAACCGACTGTGCCGTTCACCACTGGCCCCGTGTCCTCCCTGGAGGTGTCCGTGGAGTTATAAACAGCGTGATACCTCATTTCAGATTTCCTCTGCTTGTCATAGAGAAATAAAGCCACACTTTAGTCAGCTGTTAAGTCTGCATCTGTCAAAAGGCGTGTGGCCCTCCCAGGACTTCAGGGTTGGTGAGAGTGACCGGGGCGCCGCAGGGCAGGGCAGAGCGGGCACCCTCATTTTCTTGAAGTGAGACACGTTCTTGCTGGGACAGAACATGATGGAATACTGGGTCCTACTTTCAGCATGTGTTAGAAAGGCCATCCAGGCAAAGCCCCTGCTGCGGTCATGCTGAGACCACCGGAGCTCCGTGGGAGAGGGGTCTGTAAAGCCCCCTGCTGTTGTGGTCACGCTGAGACCACCGGAGCTCCGTGGGAGAGGGGTTCTGTAAAGCCCCCTGCTGTTGTGGTCACGCTGAGACCACCGGAGCTCCGTGGGAGAGGGGTCTGTGCCTTGAGTTTGGGAAGCTGGGTGCTGCTCTCACCAGGGGGTGAGGTGTCTGCATGTCTGCATCCAGCTGTTCCCATAACAGGACAGCGGACTGGGTGGCACTACCCCCACGCGCCCCTAGTGAGTGGTATGGCACCGCCAGGCCGAGGCTGAGTCCTACCTGGGTTGCAGCCCCTTCTGTGGTCCTGGAAGCCTCCTTGGTCAGGCCCATCAGGCTGGAGGTGCACTCGGAACCCAGCTGCAGGAGGTGTACCTCTGCTGGACCTGCCGAATGCCTGAGCAGGGCTGGAGAGAGGAAGAGACCCGCCCTGGGAGCCCTCGAGGGAAGGTTCCCGGCTGGCCAGTGGGTGCGTCCTCCATCTGAGCCTGCCGGCGGGTGCGTCCTCCGTCTGAGCCAGTGAGTCTGCCCCTTGGCACAGGGCTTTATAGGCCCCCTCCGCCTGCTCCTCTCTGGCTGGGCTCTGGGCGGCCTCCTCCGAATGCTAGCGTTAACCATTTTTTTGCTGGCCTTTTTTCTCCCACACTTTGGCAATCAGCTCAGTTCCACTAGACTTACTTTTATGGAAGTTTAACTGCTTTTCTTCACCCACAGATACAAACCTTTCTTTAAGTTTGAAGGCATCATTCTAGCTATTGTGTATCTTTTAGGTAATAACCTGTCATCCTGGGTTGAAGCAAGCAATATTCTTGTTTTTGCAGCTGACCTGCGTTAAACACTAAATTTCGTAATTGACTTAGTAGCACGTGCATGATACATAAAGAATTTAACTTAGGAATTTCACAGACATTTGCAGAGAGAAATGTAATCCCAAGAAATAGCAGGCATTTCTGACAAGTAACTTAGGAATCTGAGTACTGGTTGAGCATCTGGAAATCTGAAGTCCAGAGTGCCCCACAGTCCAACACTGTTGGAGCGTCGTGCCTCAAGTGGAAAATTCCACACCTGACCTCGTGTGGCGGGCTGCAGTCCCAGGCACAGTTCAAAGTTTGTTTTATACATGAAATTATTAAAAGTGTTGTATAAAGTTACTTTCAGGCAGTGTGTGTAAGGTGTGTATGAAACACAAATGAATTTTGTATTTAGCTTTCTCATTCTGTAGCTGCAGGTATTCCAAAATCTGCAGAAATCTGAACTCCGAACTCCTCTGGTCCCAAGCGTTCAGATGAGGGACCCTCAGCCCGTAGTTTTCTCTGAGTGTTGGCGGCGCCTCAGGTCCCGCCTCCCGCGCTCGCTGCAGAGGCGTCGGAACTTACCTGCCGGCCAGGTGTTGGTGGCCTCTTGCCCAGCAGGCCGCCTCCGTTGCCCGTGGTTGCGGATTTCACAGCCTCCACGGCCTCATGTGGGCGGAGAATAAACCTCCCTCCGCGGACTCCAGAGGCCCCCGAACCGCCTCGTGCGGGGCGGCCGCCTCCGAGTGCGCCACCTGCTGGCCATTCGAATTTCAGCCGCCGCTTGGGGAACCCTGGGCTGCCCCGTGAGAGCAGAGCGAGAGCAGAGCCAGGCCCCCCAACCCCGGCATGGGCTGCCCAGGCTGAGGGGGTCCTCAGGCACTGCCAGCCCTGGCTGTCCAGGCCGAGGGGTGAGTCTTTCTCCGAACGGAACTTCAGCGAATCTCACTCCTACTTCTGGGTGTCGTTTTCCCTCTGAAATGTTTCCAAGCGGTGAGATTGGATCCTTTGTCCGCTGAGTATGAGTAATGCGGCTGCTGCAGCCTGAGGCGCGGTTCAGAGGCCTGCGTGGGACCCCCACCCCCACCCCCGCCGGGAGAGCTGGTGCAGACAGAGGAGTGGGGTGCTGGGCCTCCAGGTGCGCTCGGCCCCTCAGGGCCTGCTCCCCCGCAGGAGAGCTGGAGCAGGTACAGGAGTGGGGTGCTGGGCCTCCAGGTGCGCTCGGCCCCTCGGGGCCTGCTTCCCCGCAGGAGAGCTGGAGCAGGTACAGGAGTGGGGTGCTGGGCCTCCAGGTGCGCTCCGCCCCTCGGGGCCTGTTCCCCCGCAGGAGAGCTGGAGCAGGTGCAGGAGTGGGGTGCTGGGCCTCCAGGTGCGCTCGGCCCCTCGGGGCCTGCTCCCCCGCAGGAGAGCTGGTGCAGGTGCAGGAGTAGGGTGCTGGGCCTCCAGGTGCACTCGGCCCCTTGGGGCCTGCCAGGGTGTCAGCTGCTTGGTGGTGTTTCGTTAGGAGCCTGTTGCAGAGGCGCCTCAAGGCATCTGTGCAATAGCAATTTAAAGTCTTACAGATGTGTATTTTAGAAAACACACACACACATTTTCTAAACAGAATGCTGTGTTAAATTTCTAATGGAAAAATACTAACGTGGGGTTTTCTTCCAGCAGTAGAAAGTTGACAACTCTAATATGTACCTTTTTATATTTGAATGATAAAGAGCTGATTTGCTCTTAAACATTTTTTTTGACCAGTTGTGAAGTTGAGATGATTTCAGCATTAAAAATGCCCGAGACACCATTTTGAAAGATGTGAGTCATGAGAAAGTACAGAAAAAAATAAATAAAATAAAAATCCAAACCTTGAAATAGCCGAGACATGTCACTTAAAAATAGCTATGCCCTGCTAGCGCAAACCCATGGCTTCTGGTCTCTCTGCCTGTCCCAGCAGCTGAGGAAGAGCTCAGCTCCCAAGCTCTCCACTCACGTGCCCTGGGTAGGGAGCCTGCCCTGGACGGGCGAGTGGCTGATACACCTAGATTTCCTGCTTGCAACATAGAATTAGCCGGATCGGGGCTCTGGGTCTCGGAACCCAGCCTTCTCCTGTAAGCACTGGGTGGGTGAGTAACTTGTCAGCTACCGCACAACTGCGGGTGTGAGGGACAGGGCCCAGCTGCAGGAACTTCAGTCCCCAAGACCTACTTAATACTTGCATGGGTGACGGGATGGGAGGAATCTCGTGGACTGTTTGTAAAGTGTAAAGACCTTTCACCAATTTTTAAATCTGTTTTTTTTTTTTTTTTTTTTGAGACAGGGTTTTGCTCTGTTGCCCAGGCCAGCATGCAGTGGCCTGATCTCAGCTCACTGCAGCCTCTCACCTCCCAGGCTCAAGCCATCCTCCCACCTCGGCCCCTGAGAGGCTGGGACTACAGATGTGAGCTGCTAATTTTTTTTTTTTTTTTTTGTAGAGAGAAGGTCTCACTGTATTGCCAAGGCTGGTCTTGAACTCTTGGGCTCAAGTGATCCTCCCGCCTCAGCTTCCCACAGTGTAGAATGTGACATTGAACGCATGCATCCTGGGTGCTGGGTGCTGTGCCTGGTGCTCTGCATGCTTGATCTCAGGTCACCCTCCTTCAGAGCCTGTGAGGCACTTCTCCGTGTCTCATGGATGCAGAAACTGACTGCAGGGAGGTAGTGTCACCTCGGCCTCACAGCCAGCCAGGAGCAGATCTGGGAGTGGCCGGCTGACTCTGAACACATGATCTCGGCCCATACACCAGAGGCATCCTGGGGCAATAGTAATCTTGTCAGGCACTGATTTCCTTGTTGAATTTTATGTCGTTATGAATTTTTAAGAAGTGAACATATTTTCCTGTTCATCCCCAGGATAGAATAAAAGGGAAGAATTTCAAGGGGAATTTCATCTGATCATTGCTTATTGAGTTAAACGCGCACACAGCCAAATATTGGAAAATGCATAGAGAAAAACACACACAAAGTAAGGCAGTGCATCTCTGGCTTCAGGAGCCCTCCTGAGCGAATGCCCATGTGGGAAACCTTGGCCCTCGCCTTTCAGCCTTCAGTCCTCGCGTACAAAGCCCAGTCCTTGTGCTGAGAGGCTCCAGACGCAGGGCCTGCGGTGCCTTCCCGGCACCCCTCACTCTGCCAGCGCTGACTGACTGAGCGACCCCTTCCTGCTCCTTGTCCCATCCCCAGTCCTCTCCTGTGCCCTCCATGGTAGGCAGCAGCACGGGTCCCCCTGACTCTGCAGGAGCAGAGCGCTCAGGGAGTTGCATGTTGCCGTCCAAACAACCCTGGTCTTCATCGTTGCCAGCTCCAGCCCGTGTTCCGCTTCCTCACCCCACATGCAACGGCTGTGTGATACCAGGCAACATCTGTAACCTTCCTGAGCCTCAGCACCCATCTGTGCAGTGGGGGTGCGTGGGTCTAACGGCTCTATGAGATACCACACACCCCTTGTCTCTGCTGGGCGGAGTGAGGCTTCCCTTCTCACTGCTGCTTCTTTTCAAGGGAAGCGGTCCACCGGGGGCAAGGGTGGGGCGGCACTGCGGGAGATGAGCCCAGTCCTGGCTCATTCGCTTCTCCCCCATAGGCACAAGGGAGGGAGCAGTGGGTTGGAGGTGCTCACAGTATCACACGCCGTATCTACCTTACAGGGGAGACATCAAGGTGTGTGTGGAAGGAATTTTAGAGCTAATACAGGCTGGAAGACAGCCTGAGGTTCAGAGAAGTACACCATGTCTCACATGCCAGGCGGATACATTCTCCAATGATCCAGAGTCAGGGGAGGCCAAGAGCCCCTTCCCACGCCCTCAGGAGGGCATCGCTTCCCCTGCCTCCGCAGGACATGCAGGAGCACCCTTGGGCATCTGATCCTCACAGGCCTGGAGCATTAAGTGGACACACACCAGCAGCCCCTTTATAGAAAGAGCCCAGGTCCCAGGGAGGCTGTGTGTGGTGTACACGGGTCTCCCCGCTCCGGTGGCAGGTGGAGTTGGAACTCTGCGTTCTGTGCCATATCCTGACCTTCGGGACATCCTGTGACCTCCCCTCAGACAGACCTGCCATATCTTCCATCTGTTCCATTCCGGCCTGGGGAGGTTAGCTGCTGTCAGGACGTTGTGCAGCCCATGGTGACTTCGTCTCTCTTGTTCTTTCAGAAGCACGCAGGCCATGGCTGCATGCCAGGTCGGAGCCTTTCATTCAGGGTGTGTGCCTGCCAAGCCCGGAAACAGTGCGGTGAGGGGCAGGGCATCCTGGTTTTCTGCTGTGTCGCCTGGCGCTGGTGGACGTGAGCACATCGGTGCCGCCGTCCTGTCCCTGCTTGGTGTCCGCAGCGGGAGGGCCCAGTTAGGGCAGGTGTGTGCTGACTACAGCATGCTGAGCATGGAAGGGCAGGTGCTCCTGTCGTCTGCAGCTGCGTCCTGGGCAGTGCCAGCCTCCACACGCTCATCTTTTTTTTTTTTTTTTTGAGATGGATTCTCACTCTGTCACCCAGGCTGGAGTGCAGTGACACAATCTCCACTCACTGTAAGCTCTGCCTCCTGGATTCACGCCATTCTCCTGCCACAGCTTCCCAAGTAGCTGGGACTACAGGCACCTGCCACCACACCTGGCTAATTTTTTGTATTTTTTTATTAGAGATGGGGTTTCACCGTGTTAGCTAGGATGGTTTCGATCTCCTGACCTCGTGATCTGCCCCCCTCAGCCTCCCAAAGTGCTGGGATTCCAGGCGTGAGCCACTGCGCCCAGCCCACTCTCTCGTCTTCTGTCACTTTCCCTCACAAGATGGAATTCACTGTGCTTAGAGACCATCCCGCCCGTCAGCCGCTTGGCATGGCTCCAGCACGGAAGGTGCGTGCGGCTGCTGGCCCACAAGATGGTGGTGGTTTTGCAGGTCTCCCAGCAGAGCCTCCTCAGTGGTTGCGGGGAGCATTCTGGATGTGTCCTTGGGTTCTCTGGGAGCGTCGCGCCAAGGGCAGCTCACAGAAGAGTGGGCAGGGTGGCGCTGGCCGAGCTTGTCCTGCGGGGACCCTCCGCCCCCAGGAGCACGTGGCGGAATGTTCCAGGAGAGGCCAGCACCAGGGCCTTGTCCCAGCCCCACCTCGGTCACTGCCAGGCAGTTCCTCAAGGAGCCTCAGGGAGGCTCCTCCCACCCCACCCCAGTCTGATTTTATCTGTTTGAACGCAGGACCTCATGAACCCTTTCTTTGGATAAATGCAAATGACGCATCCTCTCTTCAGTAGCACCACACTCCTCCGTGCTTCCTTAGTTTTCTGCAGGTGCTGGATCTTCCCCTTGGTGTGAACATGGAACGTTGCCCGTTCTCTGTGTCCAGATGGTTATAGGATGGGGCAGTGGCAGGAGCTGGACACAGGACCAGGATCACGCAGCACCTGCCCTGCCCCCCAGGGCCACCCCAGGGGCTGTGATATGCTCTGGGATGCCCACCCCGTGAAGCCTGCTCTTCTGGAAGTGGCAGGTGTCTCTGCCCATCAGCTGCCTGGCTGGCTCTGGGTCTTGGGTGAGAGTGTGGTGCGTGGCCCATGCTGGCCCCTCCTCCTGTGAGCCCGTCCTCGCCCCTCACGGCTCCTGTTCAACCCCATTCACTTTGGTTTTGAGTTGGGATGGAGCATCCCCTGCTCTGAGTAACTTGGGCCAGATGGCCCATGAGGAGTGCACTGTAGAGTCCCTTGCACGCAGCGCCGTCGGGTCCCACTGTGATGTGCCTCACAAGCACCTGGCCCCAGCCACCCTCTCTCAGCCTGCGGGGCGCTGCGGAGCCACGCGCTGGCCTCGCCGCGAGGGGATGTCCGCCTGCACCCTACGGTGATGAGTGGTTCCCAGGACTCCGCGTGGCATGGAATGAAGAACAATGGCCAGACTGAGAGGAAGTGGTTTGGAATGTTTGTTTAATTAAGGCAAATTGGAAACAAGATCTTTTCGACATGGACCGCAGGTCTGAAAGCCGTGTGAGGCTGTCCAGATGTCCCATCCCGGCGGCTGTCAGCTGCAGGCGCTTCGTGTAGGAGTGCGTGCTCCTGTGGGGCAGCGTTTGTGGACGTTGCCGTCAGGTACTGTCCCCGTTCGCGGGGTCTGCCGTGCTCTCCCATGCGGTCATAGCCAGGCCCAGCCACCCAGTGGGTGGGGGGACAGGCGCACACCTGAGCTTGGCCCCGAGAGCGCAGTCTGGAGCTCAGATGAAGGCTGCTGCCTGCTTTCTCCTTATTACTGGGCTTTTCTCGTGGACGAGAGGGGCCCCTGCGCAGGCAGAAGGAAGCCACGGCTTCGAGAGGCCTCCTGGACCCTCCCCCGAGCTGTATCTTGTCTGGGTCGGGGCTCCCAGGTTCCTCGGTTGACTCTGGCTTCACAGCCTGTCTGCTGCATATGGGATGAGGTCCTGGTACCGGCTACCGACCGACGTAAGCGTGACCTGAGCCCTGGGTCTCAGCTTCCCCGTCCGCATGGCGGGTGCCAGCACGGGCTTTCTGTCTCCGATCTGCGCTGCCCCCTTGCCGCCGCCCCTGCGCTGTGCCAAGCCCTGCTCAAGCCCACTGTGTTTGTACTTAGGTTTCGTTCTGGTTCTTCTGCCCAGGCTCTACAAGGAAAGGGAAGAATTCTGAGTGGCCCCAGATGGGCTCCCCTTTCCCCACCTTTCATGGTCCCCTGACTGTGGGTCTTAGGAGAGAGGGGTCCTCACAGTTATCTCTGAGGCCCTTTCAAGTCCCGGCCTGGCGAGGGCAATCTGGTGGAGCGGGGGTGGATGTGCTTAGCTCACCCCTACCCGGCCTGGGCACCAAGCCCGTCTCCCGGTGGCACTACCTGGCATAGTCCCCCGGCCCTGGTGGCCCTGGATGATGGCACGCTGGGAAGGACCAAGCCCTTTGGGAGCCACAGGTTGCAGCCTTGCTGGGCTGCCGGGTGGGGGATGTGCCCCCCTCTTCTCCACTGCTGCTGCTCCATAGTCTAAGAGACAGAGTAACAAATGCAGGGCTGTGCTGGCTCCAGCTTGGCCGGCCTTCCTGTTCTTCCCACCGGGCCCCCTGCACCCTGGGCCTTGACAGCCTGGCACCTTCTCCCCTACCTTACCCCCAAAGGCAGTACAAGCAGAGGGGGACGAGGTGCAGGGCCCAGGCCAAGCGGCTCTCAGCCCCTCCTCTCTCACTGAGACCTTCCCATGTGAGTGGCACTTTGTATACAGATCGCCGGGACCCTCTGCAGCGAGGTTATGGAGTCAGAGGGATGAAGTCATGCTGCTGGTACCCAGCTGCTTAATGATGTGACCACCAT